AGCCACCTACAGATTGTTTAGAAGATACCCGACCTTCCGCCTCGCTGTTGAACTGGGCCTCTTTGCTAGGAATTCCTGCGCGATATCATAGGAATTTAAAATCACGATCGAATTTCCTGGGATTGGTGCATATACAATGTCGCCTGCGTCAAAGAGACCCTTGTTAGCAGAACACTGCGCACGCTGATAAGGGAACCTACCATACGTTTTCGCCCAATCACACCAACATTGGACGAATTGACCCTTAGGAAAGCTTCTTAGCGCTCCAATGACGGGATCTCTGGGTGGTCCGGGGGGGTATGAATGTGAGCCAGACCGATCAAGGAGGATGCCTCGTATTCCCTTTATTGCGAAGTAGCCCAAAGAGACCGCCGTAAGGGATACCGCGCACACCTTGACAGGAGAATCGAGTATTGGAGTGATAATTTTGTCCATAGTCCACTACGTTGAAGGGACTAGTTTGCTTGTTACTTGACGGTTGGACCCAGGTGCCAAGTTGCAAAAAGTCAAGCGAAACTAGGACTCGCTTCCCCCCACTCCAGGCGTATACTCGGGAGGTTGACGGAAGGGTCGATAGAAAGGACCTAAACCATTACGTCCGCAAAGGGACCAACGTGTATAATCACACAGTACGATTGGTGAGATGAAAGGTACGGTTATGGAGCCCAACTATGCGTCAACGGAAACTCTTTCTGCTCCTCTAGAACCCAGCTGCACATAGCTCACACTGACCATACCACATCGTTGAAGATCTCCGTCAAATGTGTTTATTTGTTGAAGGAGCCCCGGTGTTTATCGCACTCAGTCTTGACTGAGGTTGGAGGTTATGGCCAACTCGTTCCTTGCTTTGTTAGTTCGACCCTATCAGGGCTCGACTTTGGAATCTTAAAGACCGTTGGGGACCCCAATACAAACCACTTTAACGTAACCCTCGCCTTCTTGACTCATCATATGGTCTTCAATGTGTATGCTGACGGCAATTTGGGAGGAAAGGTTATCTATACGTTCAATTGAAATAGCTAAATAGATGATATAGAAAGTCAAGGATAGAAAGCAAAGACCCTATGCAATTCGAGTCGTCGTTCATGATAAAACCACGTCTTGTTGGTTAGAAAGGAGGTGTCTATTCACCACTACCCACCCAACAATGCCAAAGCTGGGTCCACTGGTG